AATATGTCGTCGTTTATTCGTGCTACTTTCAGATGACCATATTTTTTCATCATGTGATAAATGAATTCAGCAGACTGCAAAAACAAAACGAATTTTTCTCATTCTTCAACAATCTGTTTTTTCTTCCGCGTTCCAATCTTATCATTCGATCAACTGGAGGGAGGGAGCTTCGACGTGTTTTCTGATGTAATCTGCTGCGCTAATTACCATTTCGAATACATCTTCTGATCTGAAATATGAGCTTGAATCAGTTATCCTCAAAAAAAGTTTATCGAATTATGGGATTTGTCATTGTTCAGTGTTAATCTAAAGTACCGCGTAATTTGCGATTGATGTTGTTTTTGTTTTCCTTTGTTTTTGATGAGTTCGTTTGAATGGTGAACGATTCAAGTGGGTTTGAGTGTGGTGATCTGCAATGAATGGTGATTATGAGGCGGTTATTTTCGACATGAATGGAGTGCTGATGAATTCAGCGGCTATGTGGAAAGGAACGGGTTTGTTTCAGATTCTTCTATGCTATTTTTTTCATTGTCTTTAGTCAGTGTTGATGTGCAATTGCCATAATGAAATTCTCACTCGTGTTTGCTGAAGGTCGTCGATCTCATTTATAATAGCAAATAAAGCAGCATTCAGTGTTTTTCAAACGAGCTAGAGCACATACTGAAGTTGGTGGTTATATCTGATGTATGGTGTGAATGATGATGGCGAATATTCGTTCGATTATAGTACGACGGGTTGTTTGCAGACTGGGAAATGCAAAATGGAATTCCGGCTGGGAGTTTGATGCGAGTTCTGTTCAGTGAACAATTTCGAAGACAGTCGAAAACGCTGTTTAGCGGAGCGATTAGTGCCGAAACATTCGATAGCACAATTTTTCAGGCGCTTTTTGAGCAGATTGTTGGTAAGAGTTATTTGGTGGGTTTGATGAGTGTGTCTTATTGTTTGTGCTGAATTATCTTCGAATAATAACTTATCAATTCTTTCAAATTGACTCATTCCTTTTGGTAGATCTGAAAGTAGGATCAAATGATGAACACTGAAGGAACATTGGGCATGAGCGAGTGACATCGACGATTTCAGTCAATTATGAGATATCGAGCATTCACTCCTAATTGTGACGTTCTGTTTCCCTACTCATCATTGGAAAGCAATGGTTAGTCGCGGACTGAATTATCGCAATCTACAGGCGATTTGAAATCTGCATGAGATTAGCATGAGAAAAAGAGAAAAGATGTGAATTCCCATGATTTAGCTGCAATAATTTTATTGGCTTCACTCACTGTGAAGTGGCATAATTTCAGGATGGTCGCAGACGTCAATCATTTCACGTATTATCTGACTGGTATCCGTCAGATCCAACGCAAGGCGTTGTAGTGAGTCAATCTGATTCTGAGAGTGTTTCATCGCATTAAAATTTTCGATTCCATAAGCGAACTGATTCATTCCAAAAATAAATGCGGAATTCCCTGCTGATATACATTTATTCAAACTGCAAATCATTGCGGAAGTTGAACATCTGACCCACTTTTTAGATCAGAAATTGAATTGTTTTCGTTACATAACCGATGACTTCTTTCTTTTTGTTGCGCTGAGAAGTTAACTGGTTTTCAGTGCAGACATGTTTTGTTTTCTAAAGGCAAACAAACAAACTTCTTAATGGGAACACTTCTCACAGTGATTGAGTTGCTCTGAGCAGTCAGTCAGGCGCTGTGATTGAGAGGTGAAGTTGATTGAGAGTGACAATGTGTTTATATTTGAGTTTGAAGAAATGATGCGTGCCGTTAAATTGCTCAAACGACGAGGATACGGCACTGCACTTCTGACCAATAATTATTTCATTGATGATGCCAAACAGAAACCAACCGTTCATGTGGACACGAGCAATTTTGATGTGGTCGTTGAGAGTTGTCGATTGGGTATATGCAAGCCAGATGAGCGAATTTATAAGGTTCATTCTTGAGATATTAAATTTCTAATTGATTCGAAAACGATCAATTTCTATTGAGTTGGTGAAAGTCTGCAAGTGTATGGAGGAATAACAGTGTCGATTGAAAGTATTCGTAATAGAGTTTGGATCTTGACCGGANAAATTATTTTCGAACTTAGAGCAGTTGCATGGAATTAGTGGTGGTTCAGTGAGCGTCTTCGATTGTGAATATGGACGTTTTCAACTTGAGTTTGAGGTGAGAATGGGATTTGCATGGGATTTATGGGAATTAATTAGAAAGGGAGTAAAATGGAAGGGATATTGATGAATTTTTCCTTCTTGTTTTTCAGTTTACATTAGATCGTTTGGAAGTTCCCGCAGAGAAAAGTATTTTTATTGATGACTCGAAAACATTTTGCGATGCAGCTAGCCGATTGGGAATAACGACCATTCACGTAATAACTTCGTTTAATTTTATTCAATTATCACCAAAGCGATAATATTCATGAATTCAACACTGACTATGAGTTCATTTGCAAATGATAACATTATTCGCAAGTTGAAGTAGAATTCCATACCTGATGTTCGCATTCCCCATTGAATTGCATCGAAAATCGCTTTTTTCCATCCTAAACTCAATAATGCTGTCTGTGGTCGTTTTCAGTAACTGAGAAACTTAAGTGGAAATGGAAAAAAGTTTGTGTCTTATATTTTGAACAGTATTTATGAATCGCTATCGACTTGCGGTTTGATAAGTTCCCTAAATTTCATTCCCCGAAGATAACGAAATGTTGGACTGACTGAAATGTCTAGAAACCATTGAGTGTTGTCGAATTTGCTTGTTTCTCATGGAGGTTACTCTCAACTTTATGTGTTTAGGTGAATAAAGGTGATACGGATGCCGCATTGAAGCAGCTCGAAGAATTGTTGAATGTTCCGTTGAGGTGACTTGTCTGCACGGAACATTCCACTATTACGCGTTCTTATGAAAGGAAAGGATTCTACATCTGATTGTGAGGTGTTCAATGGAATTGTTATTGTTCAAAACTAAAGATTACTTTTACTTCGCTGTGCGATTGTAATCGTTTTGTATATGTAACATATTTGATGTTGATTTTGCTTATGTGAGCCTTTTTTCGCATGATATTCATGCAGTTTTATTGGAAGTATTCTTCGGTTGAGNGTTGTTCAATGGAATAATGAAGAGAATTATTTAATGAATCGACATTTTATTGGTTTAACAAAATATACATACATAATATGTACAAATACTTGCGATTTCATCTATCGATTCGTAATTGGCTTAAGACAATGACTTAATGTGCCTGAATGAGTATTGCTTTGGCATAAAAGTTACATATATAATTAAGCATCGATCGCAACTTCTAATAGATACTGAAACATGTATGGAAGAGTGCAATATTCTGATGCATTGTTTTACGGAGTAATGATTACGAGAGAAGTTCTGGTGCTTCACGCATCTAAGTCACATTCTCTGCTGCAATCGATCGTATTCGTTGAAGAGATCATTGAGGAGCGGGAGTTCTAACAGAGTGGCTGTTTGCTAACCGGATATTCCGATTCCGATTTCGTCATTTTGAGATATTTTCTCGGATTTGCCGATCAATCAATCAGTTGCCAGCTAGTGGGAACTGAAACGTTCGTTCTTCCCAATCAGCATCTTCGATATGCTTGGGCACCTCCAGAACACTTTTTTCGTAGAACGTAACTTGATTGAAACGGTCCACCAGTATTATCGAGTGCGATCTGAAAAATTTCGTGAATATCCTAACGAATTCACTTTACGCAAGCGAGTAGGATAGGTTTAAGAATGAAGTTTATTTAGTGTAATTTCATTGTGTCCTCAAGAGTGCCGCCGTTATTCATAGAAGCAGATACATAGAAGCAGATAAGGAGATGTCAACGCTATTAAATTGCTCCTTGCTAACTAGATTTGAACTTTTCATCGGGAATACCAATGAAACGTTGAAGAAAACAGCAAGAGCAACAATTATGAGTGTTCTCGCTAAGCAGCAGTCCAAAAAGATTACTTTGTTCCATATCTGATACCATCAGGATAGCGTACGAACAGAGATGATCGGAACTTGCAGATTTCAGATGAACGCTGGCACTGTTTCTTGAGTTGATCATCTGGGAAACATCTGAAAACACCGAGAAAGTTACTCATTTCAANAATCTCGATAAAGGCATTTTCATGACCAATCAGCAATGATTTTGTAGCGAACTATTCCTCATTTTTCAGCGAAATATCATTCTTGCGCAGATATACTTCGATAATTCAATTATTTTGTGCCAATGTCGATAAAATGATCAAGCTTGTTACCGAACACGATCCGTGGCGATATTCATTAATCTGTTGATCACCTCCTCTTCACACAGATCTTCTGCATTGATCTCTTCGACTGCTTCAGTCATCAGTTCAACACCTCGTTGAACCTTCTTGAAAGGTCTATCGTATGGACTGTTACCGAACCCGTGAATACCTGCAAAGCAAGTGCTGCTTCATTAACCGTTCCTGTAACGATATCACCTTAATGATCGTGTTCTAACGTCATCAGGTGAATGACTGACAGCGAATTACCATCGGAAGTTGCCATATTATCATATGATATGAAAAAAAAACAAAGTAACCTGGTGCATGTTGCAGAGGTTCAATTTGATCCACATAGTGACTGGCAAGTGACCACAGTTCGTATTCATCGTCATTGTTCCTGAAAAAAAAATGATCTCTCGAATCCATCAAGGAACGCTCTACATAGCTAGAAGAATCTCACAACTAGGAGAACGTTAGTTTCACTCACCTTTCCAAGCAAAGCATTTGAAAAGCATTATAGACGTCGGCTGTTGATCCGAGAGTTTTACAAAAACTCGACGGACCCTTCCCAGAACGAAGATATTCAATTGGAATTGCACCTGGAATATAGTGCTGCTGTCAAAGGATTGTTTTAGATGTGATTTATTTAACTTTGCGAAGGCAAAATCCGATAAACAGTCGAGAATTGATAAATCTGGAGGAGAACTCCAAATCAGGCATTCATTCAGGCATGAACTATTATATGTCGGTGTTCGATAGAGAGTAATTGAAAGATGGAACGATTTATTGATTGTGTTGATCGTACGAAACGATGCGATTTCTAAATGTTCGCTTATATCGGAACAATTTCTGAGAAATTTATTTTCTAACTCGAACTCTATATTTATTCATTAATTTAAGGTTGATGTTGCATATTGGTAACGTTGCATTATTAATATTATCGATTGTAGTAGGCGATTTGTCATTTGCAATTGACGTGAATGAGAAAAGGCCGGCATTTTCGGAGTGATCAGAAATTGCAATTCAGGGTGATTTGGGAATGTCGTTTTGGAAAAGTCATGTGCGATAGAGATGGTGTGATTCATACATTTTGCACTAAAACGTGCCATTATGTCATTATACTAAAACAGGAACTATGACGAGTTTATTGCGGTGAGATGCTTGACTAGAAGCGTTTCTCTTGGAAATAGGAACGGAACTCGCCTCGGCTGGGAGCACGTTGTTTAACCTGATGGAAAGGAATGGTTATAGCGAGCAAATTGCCGATGCGGCCTGATTTATCCATACATAACCATGTACCTCTTACGTCGCTCTTTTCATCTCTTCCTGAAAAATTGTTTGTCGTGATCGCTTGATATTGCTGCCAGGAATTTGAAATTTTAAAGACTCTTTAGGATTCTATCAATTTCGTTGGAATGTTAGTGCAATGCACTTGTTGTAATCCGTAGGAATGCATACACTGTAATCACCTAATAACTTAGTCAAATTCTTTACTTCTTCATCAAATTTATTGTCATTTCTCTCTTTCCGGTAGCCTCAGTTAACTGTGTCATTTATAATCCGGAAGTTGAATACCAAGCAAACTGTGTGTATTTCCGTAGAGGTGATACTTGATCTACCAGAGTCAACGAAATAAAACCCGTAGAAAAAACCTTACCACCCAATATTCCACGTTCCCATCGTGCTTTAGTAGTGGGACGATCAAGGAACTCATCACGATTATTCACAAGGATGAGTTTATATTTTGCGCACGGATCGTGTTCGATGTACACAAACGTAACACACATTATTGCGGCGTTCACAACGAGAATTTCAGTGGAATCTCAGCGAAAAGTTGATAGAACACTGACAAATCGGGAATACAGATAGATTCAGACTTCGAACGATACAACAAACAACTGAAGTTGTTGATCAGTTTGCTATCTCAACGTAGTTCGACCGTAATCAGCCAACGCATTAAAAAACCACCAATTTCTGCAATGGAAACATTTCATTGAGTAAAGTTTAGATAAAATGAGACAAAAACCGTACAATAGGCATTAGACACGAAATTTCTAGCAGTAAATGAATATCATTTGATGACAATAGAAATGATCTTTGAGATGTGGTTGAGATGACAACAAATGACGAGAACAACATCATTAACTCAAGTCATCCGCTGCAAACTTGCGATATATTTGTTTATAACATTTATAATAGAACTTTGAAATCATTCAGTGCAATTCGACACATTGCAGAGTTAGCAAGGACTTTGCAGAGGCTTTCGCAATCAGCGATTAAGTCTATCGGATTGACGCAATTGACTTCAACTGACTACTGACTAAGTTTTATTCCAGCTAAAAACTTCGCCACATTTTCAAAACACCAAAATATCTGAGGGATTGATTGTAAACCAGCAAATGTATTTGCTGGAATTCATACAAAACAAGTTGCAATACGACTGAAAATTTGGTTTCATGGAACCGAACGTTTCAACAATAAACAGTTTTTCTCGTTTGATCACTTCGCTCGACTATTTGGTACGCAAAAAAATGCTGTCTACTAATAGTCTTTTAGAAAACAAAAATTGAAATTGCACAACAAGTTTGAATGGTAGTCTTTGCTATAAAAGCGTTTCGATATAAGTGACGTTTTCATACTGTAAAAATGTGAATCATGAAGTGATGACAAATCACTATCAGATGACTTCGTACGTTAGAAGTCATTCTTCAAAAATTGTCACCTTGAAATTCATTTTCAACAAGAGCCGCAAAAAATGGCAGGTGATCAGTGAAAGCAGCAGCAGCAGCAGCTAGGCCTAACTACGTCCGATTAATCAGACGAACTCTTCTATAAATAGAGGTGTTGAATGAGTTGAAAATCAGGTTTTTTGCTCCAGTAGTAATGGAAACAACATACAAAAAACAACGATCATTCAACAAAAAAAAGAGCAGTCTTGACGTAATATGACATCAAATTGTCTGGCAGTTATTAATTTAAGAAGCAGTCCATTGAGGCAGGCGTTTGATTTGTTTGATTGAACGCAAATATTTGTGGTCGATATGATGACGAGTGAGTGACAGAATCTAATTTTTCTATAGGAATAACAACAATGTCTGGGAAATTTCGAATGATTTTGAAAGTGAGTTGATGAACAATTGTAATTGTTGAGTAATTTTCGATCGACGAACCGGTTGACGATTCCTTATTTCGTAAACACATAGGACAATAAAGATGATTGGAGCGAGTAATACTGCTGCTTTGTAAGCAGTAAACAAATACTGGTGAGTGAAGGATTACAGGTAAGTTTATGATCACTTCTATTACTTTATGCTTCTGCAAGGAAGCATATTTCTTAGCAATTGCCATCAATTCATGACGAAGGCTGTTTATCGATGGAAAGTGTTCCATATGAGACGACGGCAAATGCAAGTTAAAGAATTAGATTTGACTGATGTGATGTAATATATGAGCACATTTAAGAATCAAAATTCGAGCAAGTTCACATCTTAAGTGCATGAATTCGACGAATATGACCGCCGCTCAAATCATGCAACAATAACGATAGATGATCGACGACGTATCAAAGCACACACAAACTAGAAATATAAACCAATCATGATCTGTTTTCGATATTTTTAATGCGAATCATTGCGTTTTTGCAAGGAATATCTCTAAATTTCGAGCAGAAAAAAAATTGCAATAGGGCGAAAAATTTTGTTAATCACCGTATAATGGTTGCTGATTGAGACCAATCATGTCAGTGGAAAGTCAGCTATTTTGTAATCGTAATCGTAATATTCGTGATCGTTTCGAGTCGTTCAACTCAACGGCTCAATGACAACTCAAAACCATTACGAATATTGTACGAAATAGCTGATGCAAAACGAACAAATTGATAGGAGGAAATTGCTGAATGGCAATGAAATTATATAATCGTATTTGTGTAATGATTAAAGGGGAACGTTGAAAGCGCTTTGGATTGACTGTGCGAGTGACATTGACACTTGATGAACCGAGCGGAGCATTTCATCGGTGAATTTATTCGTAAATTCATTAGAGAACATCGGATTTAGAGTAGGAGTCTTCGTTCAATCGCTTACGAATCAAATCACACAACGTTCACGCTTTCAATCGCTTCATCGTTCAGTGAATATAAATCGACTGGATTCGTTTCAGTGGACTTTGTATCGTTAACAAATCGCTTGGTGTTGCTGCTTGGTGATTATATGAATATCTTCATTCTAATCTACTGCACTCTTGAGAATGAATGCACTCTCACGTTTTGAACAGTGTATGTGAATGGGAAAAGCTTTTTTTTGAATTTCTGCAAACACGTTTTGGTTGCGATTGTTCAACAATTTCATGAAGATAATGATCATCCGCGTTTTAGAATCAGTCAACCAAAGCCAGAGAACCACTAGCGAATATAATGCACTCAACAAAATTTTCTGCGTTTCAAATTCAATCAAAAAAAAGCGATAGAAAGTTTCATCACAAGTTCACGCATTTCCCAATAATGCTGCTGATTAGGGCAGTATTTAACAAGGAATATGATGAAATTCGTCAAATGTTCAATTTAGACCTTCAGTTTCGCATCAGTGACTGATTATGCACGGAGAATTTCATAAAATGCACAAGGCCATTTCAATTGATCAAGATTTCACTATAAATTGTGCATGTTACCAGCGAATTTGGCCATGAAAAGCATCAATATTCAAATACTTTAAAAAACGATGCGAGAGTAGAAGATGTTTCCGATGTTTGATACTATAACAGCTGATGTTGACGTCAGCTTGTTGAAAGAAAGAATATAATGCAATCAAATTAATTGGTTGAATGAAAGCGAATGAATAAGCAGCAGTTCAGATGGTACAATAATCACACGTCGACATTGACATAAACACATAAACGTTAACACCGTCTAAACAACGTTCATCTGCGGAGACGAGAAATGCAAATTGGACCAGAATCTGGTTCCAGCTAGACATTCATATGCATGCATTCAAATGATGACATCACAGTCGAATTCATATTTGTTATTCACCTTCAAATAACAACTCAATCAACCAAGAATTATCACTGATCCGTTGTCACTAAACCATTATCGTCACTAAACCATTTATCTCTTATCATTCAGGCGCTAGTTGCTTCAGACCAATTTAACGCTAATCAATCAAGAATGAACGTCACCAGTGTGCAAAATGCAGCATGTTTACCCCATAAAATAGGTGATCATAAATAAAAACCAGAAAACAGTGTTCTCAATCGCGTCAAACTCCGACCGAAATGACATTGAGATTTGCATCGATCGCCTCCTAAAAATAATGCGTCTTATGAATGCTGTTGAAAATGAATTTCTGCTATAAATAGTGTTCAATCACAAGACGGCTGCTCTTCGATAGGAATTTCAACAATTTTTTCAAAGGCGTTCAGCGAATTTCCACTCCTTGTTCATTGGGTTACGAAATGCGCTCGTGAAATTTTCCAGCGACCGAAGACGATGCACTAGCAACCACCAGTATTCATCAGTCGACGAACTGCGTGGGATGTTCGTCGGATGTATTTTGGCAAATTATGATCGATGCACGTTTATAGGCAGATTTGTAAACTTGAAAATAAGAAAGCATTTCGACGACACATTACATCCGATAGTACATTGATAGTGATTGATGATTTATTTAGGTGGTGCATTAATCATCTGCATATTCGTCAAATACTGCACCGTGTTCGGCGATCTCTAAATTGGTCAGCGTTCATGGAATGGACCAAAAACTGAACTATTTTTGATGCGAAGATCAGAAGATCAGCTCAGTAACAACGAAAATATACGAGAAGACTTCACAGAGAGTCAGCATGTTTCGTGAATCAGTTCCTTTTTAACCAAAAAAAAAACTTCCGCTAGGATTTATCACAAGGTGGACGCAAAAAATGAGAGAAAATTTTCAAATAAATGTCACTAAACACGACTTTTGACGGGTCTGCATTACAGTCGATCACATTTGTTAAAATGGTCGTTATGCGATGAACAATTTTACGGTTGTCATCGGAGTTTTACACAACGCATAGGATCTGTAAGAGCAAGCAGGATACAATATAAATCATGTAGCTGTCATATAGTCTTGATATGATTCAATTAGTGATTCAATTGTTCCAATCACAGTACTAGCTTCGATTGGTTTTTGTTCTTTTGGAACCTTTGCTGCGAAAAACATGCAACAAACTTTATTGAGCGCCGCTGTTACACTGAAATCAGGAAAATTGATATATGACTGTAAATTATCGAAAAAACTGTAAAAATTATCTGTGTGAAACAAGGAATTAACGAGAACTTTTTTCTGATTCATAAAAGATAGTATTCGAATGTTGTTGGCTCCCACGTCCAATGGTAATTCTTGATGCTTTAATGATTACAGAAAGTAAACTAGAAAGGCTACACATTAAACATACTTCGTATCGACTTCAACGAATACTAGCTTCACAAATCGATCACATTGAATGGATACGATCAATACTTTATTATATGCTACTAAGACTATACTACCTTCTTGCTATTAGAAGTAAGCAATGCAGTTCTGGACAAAATTAATTGTTTGTCGACTGCAACTGAGCTCCTGGAAGGCAGGAACTCATCAGTTCCCGAATGCTTGACTTTTATCATTCTTGGCAAATTTGCTGGTGATCACCGTGTTGATTCGGGACGAGGATATAACGATGAGATGTATGCGGTGTCCTGAGAATGAATCGAATTCGAAAAATTTATCAGAGTCACTAAATAACTCACAAATCAGCATGCAATACTGGCATAATTAGTATACGCAATCAAACATTATTCCCATGCAATCCCATGCAGACATATTAGCGGTGTCGTTTCATCACACAGCAGCACATTTCCATCATCATGAAAACAGTTGAGGACTGATAATACAAACAAATGAGTGAGCGAGTAAATATGACGACGACATTGAACTGGTAATTAATTTGTTGCTTTGATACGATACAAACGAATGAATACGATACGATAGAATAACCATAAATAACATGAGGGATAATCGAAACCGGTACGGTGACTATATGATCAGTATTTGTGGCAAATAACTATGTGATTGCTAATCGTTTATAAATCAAAACTGCTTATTGATAAGAGAACATGAACAAAATCTCGATTATATCTTCTTAAATCCGAGCAAAAGGTGGTCGTCGGTCTAATGATGAAATCCAACAACCCATGTGCTGAGAATTTTCAAAGTCTTTCTCTGTAACCAACCATCAAACGGGTCAGTGAAATTTTCGAATAACTTCTGCATCGGCAATGAAAGTGATCATCAAATTCATCAAGCTATTTGTGCACCACTCATTTTTGGCACGGCAACACTGAATGCATCTGAACGAAATTGAATGTTTATTGCAGACGATTATAGTCATTAAGTAGAATCGGTGCATAATTACAAGAGCCATCATATTTCATGACGGAATCTATCCAGTGACGCTCACAAAACATCATTACAATTCCATATGCATCGAACGGGCATCAATTTCTCACAAAAAATAACTCACTAAAAAGGTACTGACTGTAATCTTTCCAAAATGTCCATTTCATTCACACAACGTCCAGGATTTACTTGTGAAAATAAGATTGACTATCTTTATAAGTCACATTTTCTCAGAAAGCTTCTCAAAACATATAACATCAGAAAACTATCTCTTAGGCAATAAACAGTACATGGAATGAAGCTTGTGTAATCTATGTATGATACACGCTTGAGCAAAATGCAATTACTTGAATGATAAATGAAATACACTTGTTCCATGATGAGGACTGCTGCTTACAATCATATGAGCACAAAAGCGAAGTAATAAGCTTTTCCGATGACAGCACCGGATAAAAGTACGACAAGTGATAAACTGCAGATACATTCATAAAAACAATTGGCTTCATTTGATCGTGAAAATGAGAGCATAAAAGGAATCATTGCTGCGGTAAATCAAATTCAAATTTGCTATCCACCCAAACAATATTCTCGAAATCTTCCGGTGGAGGCACTTGGCTTCGCTCTAAGTACGTCACATGGCCGAGTCCATCAATAAGAATTATCGTATGAGATCTGCAAAACAACAAAACAAAATGCCAGTGCAAAGACAATCGCTGCAAATGCACGACATAGATTCGACACAAAAAGGAAAAACCTCTAGGGACATTGAAATATTATGATTCGTAGGGAAGTATTTGGAGAATAAACACAGAGTTTGAGTGGATATTACCTGGTGCCGTATCGAAACGGTGCTGGTAAACGATAGCAAAGTTGAGACATAGCTCTACTCAGCTCTTCCGGTTGGTCGGTTTGACTCATCAACTGTTCATCAGGATGATGACTGAAAAGAAAATCAAGTTCGCATTCAGATAATCTGAATTACCCAGATATCTTGCTGATCATACGGCGTCAAAAAGATACAATGAGGCGGAACAGCAACAAATTTTGAGCATCCTCATCGATCAATTCCTAACAACTCATCAAAAACGCAATACAATAATTCTCGTTAATACGTCGGTTATTTAATTACTTATCCAACAGAGAGAATAAATCTGAGAGATGATAATCACTGAGATACTATTGCACCTTTTATCGTTTCGAAGAAGCTTGACAAATTCCTCCATAGCATCCTCTTTTGACACTTGATTGAGTTGTTTAATTTTTTCGGTGAACAATTTTATTCCGTAGGTAACTTTCTTGAATGGCGTAAGCCTAGAGCTGTTACCAAATCCATAGATTCCTGTATGCAGCGTATCATTTAATACATTCATAAAGGTATTTCATCTTAAAGATCGCTCGCTATTCAACCAATTGCGATTCATCGCAATAATCATCATTAAAAAACTTAGGGGCAAAACTTCTCTTGTCAATGCTTTTGCGCTAGCATACATTGGCTAATATGTAAAAGTGTATACGTTTAGTTTCATGGCCACGGCTGGCAACTAAGACTTTATGAAATGCTATCGTAAATGCCAAGCAATCAACCAGTAGACGAACCCGATCCAAGTACCTCAGGTCTAGCGCCGTTCTGTCGATTCCCGTAGTTCACTACACGATATGATAAATGGCCATCATTTCGTTTGATCCTCAAATATTGCTTCATTACCTCCATTAGCCGCTAGTCAGAATTGTCAAAACAACATCAGATTAGATTACAAATAAGACGATTCGATGCTTTCTTTATCTGATCCAATGCCCGAATAGATTCAATTCCGTCAGATGCAAATTCGTACGCCTTATTCAAGAATGCATAAACAAGTCGGAAGCAAAAGTGTACCGATCCAGTAGAAGAAGGTTGAATCCATTATAAAGATACGCATTCTGTTCTATCTGATGACCATACTCCTCGGCNCTACACGAACCTTTCAAGTATTCATTCACTATTCGTCCTGAAAACGACGAGTAACAATCGCCACTTTACGCCTTCCTCCTGCCCAGTTTCTCACCCTCCGATCGAATTAGAAAACGAATAACTCTTGAACATTTAGATAGAAGAAGCAACAAACCGCGTGTTTGTGCACCAGCCTTGGTCAACGAGTTCTTTTCGAGCATCGACAATAAAATACCAATTTTACCATCGTTCTTCATGCCCAGCCATGTGCCACCTTTTTCATGCGGTAGAGCTTGATCCCTACCTCAACCAAAAAATCAAACAGAAGCCTATCGAAACGCACTCTATTTCATTTTGGACACTATGCTCATACACTTATATGCTCAATCATAGCTAAATACCAATAGCCAGTATCAGTTTGTTGACAGAATCTACTAAAAGCCACATCTCACGATATGATGAATATGATGAAGTGAAGTTAACTCTGTTTTTCAGCCTCTTTGAACTGTCAGAATTCAAATTGGAACAGATGCTGACATTTCCTTCAAGTCATTTTTGATATTCTGATGCGCTATAAATATTCTGTCGAAAATATTCCAAGCCAAACAAACAATCATTTACCAGCTAAAATATTTCCTTCCCATGCGGCCAGTGAGGTCGGTCTATCGAAATTTTCATCTCGATTGTTCAATACGATCAATTGATATTCACTCGATTTTCCGACTGCCTCGTCGTTCAAATACAAAAACGTCACACACATGTCCGCAATTGGGCACTATAAAAGAAAGAACAGCTCGTAATGACAATATAAAACGTCGCAACTATCGCAAAACCCTTAACGAATACTCAAGCACGTTCACTCAAATTTATCCGTAATGCACCACTGACTAGAACTGAATGCATATTCGAAATCGGCATTTCGCAGAACATATGCTCGCCACAAGTTAATCGCTGACCCAACACCATCGAATATGTAATGGTAGACAAAAAAATTCGATGATCGATTTCATCACGGAGTTAACTTGAAAGTTTTCTCTTTACATGGATTCAGATATACGAAATCTACATCTTTATGGAGTCCTTGTATCCAGCACAACACTCAAATTATCAAAATTTAAATTGTCTTCTATCATAATGATGAATCTCGTCGAAAGGAATCTAGAAAACAATTGAAATTTGAATGGCTTCATTCATCTGAACAGCTGGACTGTTTTTAAAAACCAGACCTGCTTGACAATTGTCAGTGAAGATTCCGTTCATTCCTTAAGTCATTATACCGAAAAAAATTCAAGCGTCGAACATATTTTTTTCAGTTAATATTTCCCAATGAACGAACGTTTCTACGGCCATATCATTCGTCTATGAGCAATTTCCGAACGATTCACTCTAATACTCGACGAGCGATACATGGCATACATGCAGCGATAATGTTCTTTAAATAATATCCAGCAAAAACTCTAAAAAAATATTTTAAATTCTCAATTGCTGGTCTAATCGAATCATCATACTTACTTAAAACGTTTTCAACTCAAGCAATCAGTGAACACTACACCCTTAATATACATCGTAGTTGTTTTTATTATGATTTTGATTTCAAATCGAACTGATTTCAGTTCATATTATTCTGTTTTAATCAATACGTCGTCAGGCCGTCTGCTATTGTTAAAAATAACTCGATTCGTGTATTTTTACATTAATTTTCCGATTGCTAGATGCGTTGATGGGAACCCATTAATTTATTTTGATTTATCAACTAGGCCTTATCGTGATGGATGTTCTTCTTCAATTGATATTCGTAAACATACTGAACGATGATGGAACAAAGCAGTTCAAATCAATGTTATTTCTGATTATCATATCAATATTCTTATATCAATATTCCTATTTCAATGATATCACAAGGTGGTACACCAAATCGCTAGTAATATCAAAGAAAAAATGAACACGAACAGCTGAAAATAATCCATCATATAAGTTCACCAACAACAAAACGGATAAAATGAAACACGGAGGTCGTTGATATATACTTCAATCAACTGCTGAGGGATTACGCAACATATCTCATCATAAAAAAGCAATCTCATAATGATCGCTACGATCAATACAACCATTGCACTCGAAGCAATTCGCTGATAAATTGACTGCGGGTAGTAAGTACATTTATGAGGCAGGCCAAAAACTAATGAAACGTTCGATAAAATCAAACGACTAAAGTCGCGAAAACAATCGCACAAAACAAATCATCTTATGCACATATAACTAACTGCAAACTTAAACATTAAGCAGATAAACGAAAAATGAATTGCTTCAAAGTAAATATATTGAAAACACTCTGACTAAATGACTGCACATATATTGAACAGAAACGTTCAACAATTAAAAAATTGGAAAGTNCAATATGATCATAACAATATGATCATAACAATATGATCATGCATTCAGCACAACAAAGAGGCACAAGTAACAATCGCAACATACATCTGTTTGCATGCATTCAGTTGAATTGATGGCGACATTATCGATAGGCATCACATCATAAGCATTACTAACTAACATTACCATTCGAAAATCGTTTCATTTCACAACACAGCACATTTATTTCCACACACAAACAGAAATAAGCAAACGTATGGATAGATGAAGCTAGAGCGTTAGCTTAACGAACAATACGGAGAATGTAAGCGCGAGGATCGTGAAGAAATATATGAAATATCGCATTATGAAAGCTTCACATGTCAGATGGATGGTAGCAACAAGCTACTGATGAAGAAAGTGAAATAAGAATTGAGCAAAGTACATAAAACTGGTTTATGATGCTTTCTCCGTTTGTTCTGTGCGCCTTATCACCTATCAATATCAGTGATAGTCACATTCATGAGACAATTCAAGTTTTGCGATCAGTAGAATGTTTTCTATTGTGACGTAAGCTGAGAAAAAATTTTCGAACAATTGTTTAGGAGGGAGTTCAGTTGTCAGCTATTCACTCATTTTTACGTCAAAAATCAAGCGGACATGAAATGATCAGGCAGACAATATTGCAAACAAACAAATAAGTTTGTTTGCAGTATTGTCTAAGAACGCGCATGATGAAGTAATTGAAAACTATTGAATCGAAGGGAATAATGAGCGTAGCGTCGCTACGCATTATGGAAAAATGAAACAAATGGAANTGAGGTCGTTAGAACCACTTTGGCTGGTTTTTGCGCCAAACAACTGTCGTTATCGTCGTCCTCATCCGCTATCCGCACGCTGTTCAGTGAGCCGAAATCTGACTCGGAATCAACGGCCATATGTCCCCTTCGGTCATTCTTAATATCCAAATCGAATAGCAACTCGATTCGCTGCCTTTCCAAATGAGTCACTTCGAAGCAGTTGTCTGATATTCCCCATCTCGGTGTCATGAAATGATCTTCTTGAATATGAACAACCTATTCGGCACAACCATGCGGCTCCTTGGCCAAACCATTGCCGAATGTTGTCCTGTTCCTTCTAAATCCAAATAACTACTAGCTGAAATGAAGTTTAAGCAGCCACAAAACGGCCCCACTCAAGCCGACTGAATACGAGAATTTATCTGCAATGGACAAAATTTGAATCAAAAAAAATTAATGCTTTTGGCACCACGAACCACTGTGATATTACGAATAATTCTGAAATGCGCTTCACATAAACAACAACAATTTCAGTTCACATTCAAATTCTCACACTTCACATAAGTCGACAAGTAACACGAATATTTTCGGCTTCGAAATCATACGGAAATTTTCCTAATGCTAATTCTGGGGCACTTGAGAACAAAAAACAATCCTGCAAGCAGTTGTTAATCTTTTCTAAGCAATGAGTGGCCGATTTATTTTTTAATTATGGGTATCGTATTAAATATTCTTTCATATTTATTTCAATTCACAACATTGACGTTGAATCCTGTGGAGACAAGAGGAAGCCTGATTTTATTCATTCCCAATTCTGAAGCAACTTTTCCTTTCAGTGCCCGATTCATTCTTTTCTTGGTTGAGTTGAATGAGTTCGAAGAAGACTATTGCAATGTTGTCATACTGCCTTACTCAGTCAGGGTTGGAGTATTCATCAACATCGAGGAGAATCCCTCGTATCCCTCTCATGACCCGTCTTGCAGTTTGGGAATAAGTCCGAAGTGGTCAATGAAGGCTGGTTTATCGGTGTGTAAGTGCGATGA